ACTGAACAACCAGCCATCATCAGCTGGAGCATCACATGACCACACTAACATCACATGACCACACTAACATCACATCACCATGCTAACATCACACGGCCAACATCACAACACATCATATCTAACATCACATGACCAACATCACATCACATCTAACATCACACTGATAACATCACATGACCACGCTAACATCACATCACCACGCTAACATCACATGACCACGCTAACATCACATCACCACGCTAACATCACATGACCACGCTAACATCACATCCCCACGCTAACATCACATGACCACGCTAACATCACATGACCACGCTAACATTACATCACCACGCTAACATCACATGACCACGCTAACATCACATGACCACGCTAACATCACATCCCCACGCTAACATCACATGACCACGCTAACATCACATCCCCACGCTAACATCATATCACCACGCTAACATCACATGACCATGCTAACATCACATCACCAAGCTTACATCACATCATACTGATAACATCACATGACCACGACAACATCACACACTAGGTGCGTTGGACTTCATGCAGTGCTGTGCAGGCTGATGGAAATCTGTCTTAAAGCGCTGCACGCCGGTTAGAAATGTTGTCTGGCTGACGCTGAGCGGACGCTGCGTGACTGACACATGTGGCATTAAAGTACCATGACAACACTCTGAGACAACACGACTGATTCAGCCAGGGCAGCATCTGAAGAGCGAGAGCTGAAGCTGCGATGACGACACCGATATTACATGATTGGCCGAGTTCACGTCATGACAACATCCACGTGTGTTTCAGCTTTATTATTGGACAACTTTCATCTCATACATTCCCAAACAAACAATTCACAATTCACCACACGATGACATCACATCACCCTATGCTAACATCACGTCACCCTATGCTAACATCACATCACCCTATGCTAACATCACGTCACCCTATGCTAACATCACGTCACCCTATGCTAACATCACATCACCCTATGCTAACATCACATCACCCTATGCTAACATCACGTCACCCTATGCTAACATCACATCACCCTATGCTAACATCACATCACCCTATGCTAACATCACGTCACCCTATGCTAACATCACGTCACCCTATGCTAACATCACGTCACCCTATGCTAACATCACATCACCCTATGCTAACATCACGTCACCCTATGCTAACATCACATCACCCTATGCTAACATCACATCACCCTATGCTAACATCACGTCACCCTATGCTAACATCACGTCACCCTATGCTAACATCACATCACCCTATGCTAACATCACGTCACCCTATGCTAACATCACATCACCCTATGCTAACCACATTACATTATGCAACCACACACACACACACACACGCACACGCACACACACACACACACACACACACACACATGACTGGCCCTATGATAGTGTGTGATGCTGTTGGTGTTGAGGGCTCTGAGCACAGGCAGGATGATCTTCTGAACTGTACTGAGATCAGTTTACCTTCAGTGAGGTCGTGTCTGATGTGTGCTCATGTTGACCCGCGCTGCTGCTCTGCTCTCAGTGTTAATATCATTACAGCAGGGTTTTAGCACAGTAACAGGAACACTGAGGAACGGCGCGCTCTTATTCCTCAGCGTTACCGGTAACTGATGGAAACACACACGCTTCATCAGTGTGGACATGTCTCACGCTCACTTGCTCCAATCTCTGTGCCTCAAATGTATGCAAATGAGAACACTGAATTAAATAAACCCTCATTAGCATATTTAAATATTTCAGAGCTTGACACTCTGGTAAACCAGCGTAGAGAACTGTGTGTGTGTGTGTGTGTGTGTGTGTGTGTGTGTGTGTGTGTGTGACTGCTGGAGTATATCTAACTCAGAGTTTAATCAGGAGATCCAGCATGAAGAGGAACATCTTTACAGACACAGCCCAGACACAGGTCAACATCTGAGTCTCTCCTCTCCTCTCCATATGCACCACACACCTTCTGAACACTCCAGACCACATCAGTCAATCCAGCACAGCGAGATCAGATCTACTGTTCATCTGCAGGGGTGTATGCTGTCCTCTCATACACAGCTGCTCTTCAACCTTCCTGAAGCTGCTGTGATGACTGTGAACATGAGCAACTCGAGTGTTCAGGTCAACACCACAGAAGACCTTCTGAAGAACCCTCAACATCTACAGCAGAAGCACATACTACAGTGATCAAAGCCTATATCTGTGTTTAACACACACACACATACACACGCACACACACACACGCACGCACGCACAGGCTGTTCTTGATGTACACTTCTGCGCATGTGTAGGGTCTGACGCAGCCTTCGTGAGGTCACACAGCCTTCGCCGCGGCTGACGCTGATGCTGATGCACACCTCTGCAAAAATGTAACCACGTCACGACGCGTAGCGCAAGCTCTGTTATTGGCCGGCTTAGTAGCTGTGACGAATGTGGACACTACCGAGAACCACATGAACAAGTTGGAGCGAGTGTTTACAAGTGTGTAGCCCTGTGAAGAGCTCTAAATGGACCGCTTGTGTTCATCTCAGGGTTAAAGTTGCTGCTGATTCCGGCCTCTATTATGGAGGGAGAGCGATCAGCCGTGCATTGCGTCTTATTGCTGTGGCCATGGTGAGCGGCTGCTTTGTTTTTTATTTATTTATTTAAAAAGCGCATTAAAGCTGAGATACAACCTGAAAGAAGACAATACAACACGTACTGTCACAATCATCAGCACTTTTACTAGTTCATTTACAGACACATTTAATGTATTTACCC